ATATATATATATATATATATATATATATATATTATTCATACTTTCGGTGTATAGGACCAAGCAGATTTTGACATCAAATTTTGGGGTAAAAAAAGTGTGTCTTATGCACCGAAAAATATGGTATTTTATTCTCCAACTGCTTTAGGTATCTAATGGTTGGAAGAAATGGAGATCCTTCTTGATTATATTGCATACTGCTTCCTTGGACAAGTGGATGGATTTTTCCCCTGACCTGTGGATTATCATGTGTTAAAGAAAAAGTACATTTTGCTTACCATGGCTGGGGTACCACTTGTAGGTCTCTTCCTGGTTCCAAAAGCTGATCCATATTTCATTATTTTTCCCATGCTATTAAGTAAAGGATATTCCAGTCTTGGAAATTCAAAATCTCCAATTTGAGCACATCCTTATGATTCAAGTGTATGAAAACTGTGTGTGTCATAAAAAGCTGTTGCATACCCTTTCAAAATGTAACCAATTTTTGATGACATCATTTTATCCCAAAAGTGCCAAACAATATTAAAATGTAGTTTGGATACAATCATGTCCACTGACTTTATATTGACTGTGTTTGTTACACAACTAATGTATTTACAATCATTTTGATATAACATACTCAACCCTCTGTAGTTTCTTTCTACAAAAATAGTCTACAGATTTTTTAGTATATTTATAACTAGCTGCATTACCTGTTCCCTACACAGGTGTACAAGTTACTTGAAAAGGTATTTAAAAGACACAATGAAATTACTTTTAAGAACTTTTTTTAAAAATCAAATTTTCATAACATTTTAATTTTTATCTAAACCTTTGATTTTCAAAACAAAAATTACATAATCTAAATTAAAGCTTCTTGATACACCACACTGGCTGTTGTTCCTTCTCCTAACAATAGAAACAGGGTTTGATGAGATCCAACCCTTGAACGTCCTATACAGAATTGACCATGTGAAATGCAAGGCTGCTTTAGGAACAATCCAGCTACTTTAAACTTTGACCTTGTGTCTTATTAATTGACACTGCAAAACATATTGTAACTTGGTAGCAAAGGAATTCTTGGAATGAAGACATCTTCACCTTGGCACGACCTGTCATAATTGTTGCTTCAATAACGTGGGGCAGTAAAGTCTTAAAAACTAAACTTTTGCCACTACATAATTTTGGAGGATCATTTCTCAACAAAATTATTAATGAACAACCCTTAATTTCTGAATGTGACCTGGTATCATTGGTAGTTCAAGATAATATAACAATTCAGTTGGGTGATCTACAACATCAACTGTAACTAGAACAATGATAATTGAGCTGTAAGTGAATTCCTGTTTGGGAAACTTTTGCAATAACTGATCATTTATATCATGAACAGTATCATTTCGAGATGCAAGAATTGCTCTTTTACGCAACCATTAATAATTTTGATCATTTTGAGAAATATTAGGGAACATTTTTTCCTTTAGCTATTCTGCATTCTTAACTAAATTACCACATTTGTCTGGAAAAGTAATGTAATTGTTTGATTGGAATCTTTCCAACACTAACTTAAATAGAAGTTTCTGAATTAAACCATTTGCTTTTATATCACCGAAGTTATTAAAAACAGGAAATAAAAATAAACCACAAATGAACATATACATTATTCATTCAACATGAACAACATTGTTGGCTAAACAACAGTACTGTGATAGTTCTGTTGCTAAGTGATGAGCAGAAACTGAATTAAAGCCAAAAATTAGTTTTTGTTGGAAACCTAGTTGGAATTTTGCCCCTTAATGTTACTTCTGGGGACCATGAGGAGTTAGTGGACAGGTAAACATATAATTTTGCTTTAATATATATATATATAGAGAGAGAGAGAGAGAGATAAATAGTGCATGAAATTAGCACTAGATTACCTTAATTTGCAACCAATTTTGCAGAAGGTCTGGCGAAATCTAACCCATTACTGGCCCCCTTGTCCAGCAGAATTTTGATCAACAAATCACTTTTCTAATAAAATTTCACAACACTATACAACATAATTAACTTAAAACAACTATCTATACTTGCTATACAGTGGCATTTCAATGAAAAATATGTTTTATTAAGAGTAAATAGCTCTAAGTGATATTGATTCAGCATCTCACATGCTTCCAGAAATTATCCCGGCCACGCTCAAATACACGATAAATCACTTAGAAATGGACAACTCTTAACATTAATTCAAGCAATTTTTCCACTGGGAATAAAATATATAATCGTCAGCATGAAATATAATGGGTAAATAATTTGCTTATGGTTTTTTGTGATTAAATAAATATATGTTCAGAGAATAAAATATGGTCAACAGTTATAAATGATCAGTTATTTCCGTAGCCTTCACCCAAAAACATGATAAATTAGCTAATAATGAATCACTGTTGATATGATTCAAGCTTATTTTACACAGAAAATATATAAATTGCCAATATGAAATATAATTGGTAATTAAATATCAGCAAATAATTTGCTTGCACTTTTTTGCAATTCAATAAATCTTGTATTCAAAGAATAAATTACATCAACAATTATCATGAATGATCATTTATACTGTCATTTTTGTAGTCACATACACTTTTTGCAAAGTAATTTTCCTGTCAATGATCTGCTGCATGCAAATGACGACTGACAGCTAGGGCAGTTATGTCAATGCATACAAAGTTAACTCGTTATCTGAAAGATCCAACAACTGAGAAAAGTAAAGTTGCACCTAATAGAGATTATAAAGATTATGAAAAAAATAAACATTCAAAGAGGACTTTCCAGGTATAGACCTATCCAATGATTCATATTTTAATGTTAAGTCCCTACACAGAAAATTAAGTTAAAGTTTTTAAAATATTAGTGATTGAATGGCTCAGTGGTGCACACTTTTATAGCACCATGTGTGATAGTTCTACAAATTTTGGGACCTGGGCAAGCATTGCGAAGGAGTTGAAACAGAAAGCAAGTTGGATCATCCCAGTACATTGTGTAGCTCAAAGAGTAGAATTAGCTATCAAAGATGCAGCCAAAGAATTGAAGCACCAAAATGTTTTAGAGGAGTTCCTACTGAGCCTTTACCTATACCATTACAATTCATCAGTAGCTAGGACTGGGCTGATTAAATCAAGAAAGGTGAAAAACACTAAGAAAAGGCTCCCTACTCAAGTAGGAGGCACATGTTGGGGGCAATATACAAATAAAGCAATAAAAAAAACCTACTCAAGGTATACCCAGCATTGACTGCACATTTGAATGTTGTCTCCAACAATCAGAGTGCATCTGCTGCCTCCAAAGGTAAAGCACAAGGTTTTCTGAAACATGCAAGAGCGAGAAAGATGGTTCTCTATCTTCATCCAATGTTAGACATCATGCTTGAGAGAATTTTCTGAAATAGTGCAGAGGCAGGAATGTATCCTAAGTGATGTTTCCAAGGCCCTAAATGCAACTCTAGAAGTGTTGCAAAGACACAGAACATGCAAGGGACCAGCCCTTCATGGCTTACTCATGGACAGTACACATTTCACCTTAGTATCACAAAGTTGCAGAATGATTCAACTAGTTTTGGCATAGATAGGGAGAAGATCCTAAGTGCCTTAATTTCTCATCTTGAAAAAGTTTGGGGACCTGAATGACCCACATATCTTGACACTTTCAGTGTGCAATATCAATACATAGGCAATAAATAACAAAGAGCTCTTGAAAAAATTTGGTGATACTGAGATCAAGGTGCTTTTAGATCATTTTCAAGAACCACTCAATCTGTGCACCTCATTCAGTCCGAATGCAGTTATGAATGAATGGATCACCATAAAGACAATTGTTATTCAGTCTGCAACTCGTCAGACAAAGAGTACAAATCAGAGGGTTTGAGTTTATTGTTTTATAGAATATAAAGATTTTTGTGTGAGAAATAAATGATTAATTTGTTAAATTATTTCATATATTAAATTTAAATCACACACACTATGCTTCTTACAAACAAATTAAAACTTGAATTATCACAGAAAAAGTGGGGTCCAGCAAACATCTTTTTCTGTCTGCCCACCTGTCTGGTGGAATTATTTCTTAATTTTGTGCCCTATGGACAGATAAGACGAAGTATTTACCTTGTTTATAGTGAGGCAGACACCAATTATTTAACCCTTACAATAAATCATGCAGATATATTCACTTTGACATATATAACCATTTGTTATGACAAGTGGATTTACTCCACAGCTTCACAAAAGACTAAAGATCAAATTCCTAATTTAATATTTTGGTAGATAACTTACACTTTTTGGGAACCAGCCCGATATGTTTTACGCACCACAACAGTTAATTTATTGTGTAGGAAGCAGAAACTGATCATTTAAATTAATTGTTGCCAATAGGGTGGACACTGGTCATTTCATATGTTGTTAATGATACAAACAACAAAATGTTTCTTTAGCTAAAAATGACAGTCAGTAATTTAATGGCAGTGAGCTAACAGAAGGTTTATTTCATTGCTACTAAAGTAGTTAACAGAACATTATTTTAATTTGCTTCTAACAAGACAGTCAACAGAATATTGCTACTAGAGACATCTAACAGAATATTCAGTTATTGTTAATGAAACTATTGTTTTGTTAGTGACAATTAGAATTTAGTATGTAGCTCATGAAACAACAGGTCATTTAACTTGTTGCTAATACAGTAAACAAAACAATTAGTTTGCTGTTAGTGAAAATCAATTGAAAACTGAGTTTGCGGCTAGCAAGACAGTTATCAGTACATTTACTTTGCTGCTAATGAAACAATCACCAGTATAATTTCCTTTCTAGGCTAAAGAGACAATCAACAAAATATTTAATTTGCCAAAAACGTAACAGACTATTCAGTTTGTCACTAGTGGAACAGGAAACAAGAATTAGTTGTTCCTTGTAAGGCAGAAAAAAGGCATTTTAATTTGCAATTAATAATATAATCAGTAGAACATTTCTGTTCCTAATATGGGCATTTACATTTGTGGTATTGGGTCAGTATAGATTCAGCTTGGTGCTAGTGTGACAGTCTACAGAACATCTAGTTTCCCTGAAAATAAAATAGTAAAATGACAGTCTTAAAATTTGCTGCTAGTGAAACAACAGAGGATTTAGTTTATTGGTAGTGAGACTGACAACAGAACACAGTTTATTAAAACAAAGAGTCAATGGAGTATTCGATGAAAACAAGACAGTGAAAAAGAGTATTTAATTTTTTAGTATGTTGCCCAAGGGGCAACAACAATTGATTTTTTTCTTAGCAAGTCAGTCAAACAAACATTCAGTTTGTTGTCAAGAGGAACATTCAAAATTATCCAGTTTGGTGCTAATGCAGGATATTCTACAGGAAGTTTAGTACATTGGTTTTATTTGTAATGCAAAAAAAAACAAAACATGTGAACTACCAAATTAAACATTCATACAATTTAAGTTACTCGAGCTTTACCCAAATATATAAAAAAATAAAATGTTGAAAATTTTTTTTTTTTTAGATTTCATTCAAAAGTTCCAAACATGTGTAATAATAGCATAATTGATAATGAAAAATTGTATCTACCAATTAACAGAAAGAAAAGTATAAAACATCACTGACTGATGTCAGTTGTTGACTTTTCCAATGCTGTCTGTTGCTCTGAAAAATGCCTCTTTTCCAGTACTTCATATTTAAGAAATAGTGGTATTTTAAAAACCCGAAGACTGTCAGTTTAGCTTTAAAATAAATATTGTAACTGACTCAGCTCGCATATAATGCTTATCTCCACCTAACCCAGAAAAATTATCTTGGGGATATTCTGAACAATATATTAAAAAGAACTGGGGCAAACTACCAGCTCAACATGGTGACTAATGTACCTATAACAGTAAATGACATACATTATACCATGACCACAAATGTTCCTTAGCTGATAACATTAGATAAGTTACCATCTGTTTTGAGAGTTAGATGTTTATAGCATCTTTACATATCTTAAATTACTCCCTACTTAATCTATATCTATGAAACCACTAGTTATTTACAGAATAAATATTTGATTTATAAATCTTTAAGTATAATTTATTACAGATTTAAAAAAGCATACAAACCAAAGTGAGATCAACAGTACTAATTTTCTGTTTTCATGATTTTTAGAACACTAATAGTTGACTATAAAAACCAGGAGTTAATGATACATAATGAATTTTGGTCAAATTTAGATACATACCTGGAGATTTTGAGGAATTTCTGAGTATAACTGCAAGTTTGTGGAGTCTTGCATTATTAAACTTGATCCTCTTGTCGTAGGATTAGAAAAAGATGCATTATTCCAAGAACTTTGAGTTTCATTTCTTCTAGCACTGTCAATCTGCTTGTGCATAAAGTCATTTTGCATAAAACAAGTTTTTGCTGCAAAGGATTCTATTGCTCTTGGAAAGCATTGAGAAAGATTTTGAGAATGATTCTGTCATTCTTTCTTTTTTTCAAACTGAGGAACACAGTTAAGGTTAGATGGTAGGTTTATTTGTTGTTCGTCAACACCTATCTGCAAGTCCAAATTCTGATGACCTACTGACTTTAAGGTTGAATTTGTACTGTCAATAGAACCATCTTTTCTGAACTCATTTTCAACAACTGATGAGATAATGTTATCCAATAACATAATATTCTTAACAGGAGTAGATTCAGACAGAGGGTATTGAGCTACAAGTATTATTTAATACCTTTCTTTGATGAAAAGTTCTGTCCACTGCCTGACAGAAAGGATATAAACTTGTTGGTGAATGTGTAGCCTGTGTATATGGTAGACAACCAACAGATGACAATAGTGGGTTTTCACTATAGTTTTGATTATGTGAAGTTCTGTAATTCACTGGCAAATCTATCTGGTTTGAAGAATCTTATTTCATTGCTGCTAATTCACTGTGAAGATTTCTAGTAGGTTCCCATTGTTGAGTAAGTTCTGAAGACAACACAATATCTCCATGCTGTGGCTGTAATTTGAAAACTATGGGTTCTGGAATATGAGGTACTTCAGATTTTCTCTCATATGAAATGTTTGAAACTACTTTTCCTCCTTGATGCTGACTAGATGTTTCTACAGGTGATACACCATAACATGATTGATTAGAAGCAAATTCTTGTGTGATAAATGAAGCAGGAATTTGTTGCCATTTATGTTGATTGGGAAATACCACAGATTGTTGGCTGTTTAAATTTATGTTCAACTTTTGTTGCTGTAGGACATTTGGATCCACTACTCCATCCTGATTCCAACTTGATACCAATCTACATGACTGACCA